CTCCGCAAATCCCGCCTTTCTCCGTTCCTCTGCAAGCGCCACCCTCTGTGTGTGTGTGTGTGCGTGTGTGTGTGTGTGTGTGTGTGTGTGTGCGTTCTCCCCCCCCTCCCCGTGCCCCTTGTCCCTCCGCAACCCACCCCCTTTCTCCGTTCCTCGGCAAGCGCCGCCCTCTTCTCTCTCTCTCTCTCTCTCTCTCTCTCTCTCTCTCTCTCTCTCTCTCTCTCTCTCTCTCTGTGCGCCCTTCCGCTTCCACTAGCCTATCACGTCCAGGGTGGCTGTTCACAAAGTCCAACGTGTTGTCCTCCGGTCTTCCATCCCGAAAAGCAGAGGAACAACATGTCTCGTTGAGCTGCGTCAAGCTCACCCAGCTGATGCTGCGGCATCATCCTCGGTGCGCTTGCTCTTGAACAGTTCCCAGCGAGTCCGCCTGGTGGCATTTCCGGCCCCAAATTCTATCAGCGCGGCAAGCGGTCCACGCGCTAAGGTTATTTCAAGGGATAAAGAGTATTAACGACCTCCTCCCCTCCCATGCGATGGTGAATGATCGCCTTTCCATCATCGGACTCCCCGCCCAGAAGAGCGACCACCCACACATCTCGGTCTATTGTGCTCATGCAAGCTACGTAAGGAAACCATAGCCCCCTCCCACTAAGCATTGCCCTATATAGGAAACAAATCTGCGGTCATTGGTCAATCGTTTGCGCGCGCCTCGTAGTCTCTAATCAATCAAACCCAATTAAGTCGGTTGGAATCGGGACTGGGTACTATTACAGTAATTGAGGGACAACCATGTCATCCTTGCGCAGGGGCCATGCTAATTAATCTTCTCTGATTGGGACTTGGTGATGTTAATTGAGGGACAAACATGTCATCCTTGCGCAGGGGCCATGCTAATCAATCTTCTCCGCATCGTTCCAATTTTAACGGATGTCCCGAAGGACAGCGGCGGATCACATCTGAGAAACAGATGTAGAACTGTAAAAATATATATATAATAAAAAATAAAAAATAAAAAATAAAAAATATAGAACTGTTAAACGGATCAGGAGTTCAAGTGCTTGTATCTTTCTTTTTTTCTTTCTCCTTTTTCTTCAGCTGAAGAGAACGATAGTCGGGGCTACCTCTTCCATCATGGAAAAGAAAACGAAAAGAAAGAAGACAGAAGTGATCAGAATGATGATAATAATTAATGATTACAATGCATGTATAACAATCAATATCAATATTATATTAAAATCAAGGCCCCGGGAGAGACGAACAGTCGCACTCGTCGCTGGTCCTATCGTCGCGTGCGCGCGGGACGTATCGTCGTCAGCTTTTCTTGGCTTGCTAGATTGCAAGCGCTATTTAGTTCGCGTTTTCTATAGCACCCAGAAGTCGTCAATTCCACCAGAAATGAGGCCTCGTGGTAATGGGCTGGAGCAGCCCCAGGGGACTTTCTGGGAGTCAGGTAGGCCTGTGTTTCTGATGAAGTCTCAAAACCCCCCAGCTGACCGGCAACAGACCGCATTCAGATTGGTCTCCGCGGCCCTGAGCGCCCAGGGTAGACCGCGCGGGGATATGGTACTTTCCCCATTCACGCCCCTTCAGCTTTGTTGACCCTCATAGAGGCGTGACGGGGTGCGGCTGCAGTGTGTTGAGGTGCCAATAGGGGAAGGGGGGGGGGGAGAGGGGATAGTTTGGTCTTGGTTTCGAGTATTTTTCAGGGTGGCCACAGTGCTGCTGCTATATGTTCAGATATTATGGCAGGAAACTGTGCCTGTTCGAAACCAAGTCTCAGGGCCTCGTTTCAGCCACTAGATAACTCTTGAGTTTCAAGTGCGCACCAATCACAAAATTGTTTTTGGCTACAACGAGTCTTCGTTCCATGTGCACTAGAGGCCGCTCTTGAAATTAGCACCCTTGAAACGAAAAACACCCTGGGCCCTTGTTTTGCGGGGAGCTGGTGAAATCCAGTAGTGCGCCCCCCCGACGAAAAGATGTCCCTCTTCAGGTGGGCCCACTGACCTGAGGGACCGCTGCTGGTGCCATCATCCAAGGGAAGTGACCGCGCCGTTTTTTTTTTTTTTTCAAAATTTTGTCTGCCATGGTATCCTGCGCGGGCGGCGGTAATAGCCACGCGTTCACTCGCCGAAATGTCACTCTCTTCAGTCCTTCGTGTACGTGCGAGCGGGGCGGAGCTATCCTGTGTCTCCAGTGTGTCGTCGCCGGCAGCAGCGAGAGGGGGTTCAAAGCGGAGGTTGACGCGCCGTTTTTTTTTTATTCGAAATTTTGCCCGCCATGGTATCCTGCGCGGGCGGCGGTAATAGCCACGGGTTCACTCGCCGAAATGTCACTCTCTTCAGTCCTTCGTGTACATGCAAGCGGGGCGGAGCTATCCTGCGTCTCCAGTGTGTCGTCGCCGACAACAGCGAGAGCGGGTTCAAAGCGGAAGTTGACGGGCGAGATGGAGATTGACGGCATGGCAGGACGTGGTGAGGAGGGTGGGCGTGGAGGGCTGACCAAACGGGCGAAGCGATTGGTGGTGAAAGCTTTAGTGGCAGTGTCCAGGCACGTACAAACAACGGATGGGCTGCAACAAGACTCGGGGCGAGGGAGGCCGTTGTCACACAAGCGATGGCAGGTTCGGTGTCCTCTGCCATTGTCTGGGATGCACCTTTCCTCTTGGCTGGAGTGATGCCGAGGGATACATCGAGGTGGTGGGTTAGAAGGAGGACTAGGCGCACCGGGCAAGATCTCAGCATCAACGACGATACGAGTGAAGACCATTATCACGAGAAATTGAGGATGATAAGATGTGCCTTCCACGAGATCGTCGCCTCGTGTGCACCCTATCTTCATCGGCGGCTCACCCACTGCAGTCCGTTGCAGCCTGAGCAGCTGGTTGCGTTCGCTCTTTACAGATGGGCACCCGGCAAGACCTTCAACAACGCAACGTCATCCTTCGACATTGGGAGGTCGTCTGGAATCAAGGCGTTGAGGGATGCCACGAATGCCATCTTGTTGGCGTACCCCGACAAGATACACATGCCAACCGGTTGGCGGTTGCTCCAAGTTATGTCTGCGTTCACGACGAAACGCTTCCCGAACTGCTACGGCTGCATGTCACGAACCACTTCCCAACCCCCGGCTATCTTTCGTACCCCTTTTTGTTGTATCATACCAACCCCATAGAAACCCCGTTTCGTTTTCTTGATTTTGGGTACCGCGTTTTTGACCCCCATCTTTCGGAAGCTTTTTCGACTCCCGGGTTCTGTTTTTCCTTTCTGCAATTCGGTAAATACATAGGAAATTACGTGCGCCTTAGCGAGCGCACTGGGAACTGGGCTCGACAGTTGGGAATTCCGAGATAAGCGGAACATCGACGTGTCCTTTTAATGTGTGTGAATGTTCTTGGTCGCGTCGGGGAAAACTCTCGAAATTTTGTGCGAATACGAATAGGCATAGGATTTTATTTTCCCGCGTCGCTCTTTCGTGCGCAGATATGGTGATTTGAATTTTGAATTAGGCTGTAACTGTTTCGGTGCCTTTTTCTCTCTTTTTGTTGACAGCKCCGCGCGTGCAAAGCTTTCTCCTCTCTGTCCCCCGCATCGCTCCCTCCCGCGCTCCTTTCCCCTTCTCCCTCCTCTTTCTCTCGCCCCGTAACTGTTTTCTTTCTCTCTCTCCCTCTCTCGCCTTGCTCTCTGCGCGCCCCTTTTCCCTTCTTGATAATCTGAATCTTGGACCCGTCTTGCGTCACTTCTCGCGCCTTTTTCCCCTCACCCTCTTAGCCTGGCCCACGACGCCCGATCGATCCATCGATAACTCCCGCTCGCCAATCAGGTGCGTAGATCAATAGGACCTTCCTATTGCGCGGCCAATCTGATTGGTTGAACCTTGAGTTTCGAGGGATCAACATGGCGTTCGTAGAGCATTCTTCTCAAAGTCTTCTCCTCTTGCTTCTCCTCTTACACCTCAGCTTTCCCGTCGCTTTCTCTCCCTTCTATCTCCCCGTCGCAACTATAAAACCGGCAAGCGCGGCCCCAAATCTCTCTTACGTTCTCGACTCTCAARCCAGCTTCCAGAAAGCAGTGGCTAGGCAGAGTGTTTGATGCRAGTCGGAYAGTCCTGTCRGGCTAACGATAGGCTGGTCGGTTGCGCGCTGGATCGCCACGACGGACTGTGGGATCTGGGCGAACMGTGTCGAGTCTACGACAGCGGGGTGACAATCGYAGTGGTGGGAGTTAGCACKCGGCSGTCGGGATCGTCGGTGCGGGTATGAGGATCSATGACTGGAGTTGAGTGAGTTATTGGCCCGGGACCATATTGGAATTAACGGCGAATGCGCCTTTGTTGTTGCGCATCTTTCTCTCTGAACTTCCTTCTTTTRGGTTGCGTCATCTCCTATCTACACTCTCTCTCCCCCCTCACCTTCCCCTTTCTCCTCTATCCTTGAATAATGATGTGTCTCRATGCTTCTCTCCCTCTCTCTCTTTCCCTCTTCCGGATGAGCATGAATCTGTATGCTTTCCTTGCGTGAAAGAACTTCTTTCGGAACTCTTCCATTAGTTTCCTGGGTAATCCTCCTACGCAAGGGCCCCGTCTTCTTGTCTTGTGAACGGTGGATGCGTGTGTACTGTGCAAGCGATCCATCTTTTTTTCTGTGCTTATTTTTTTCGCACCTTCCACASTSAATGAATGTATGGAGATGCRSATCTCTTTTGTGTTGATTAGACGATTGTCGTCGGGATTTTGTCCGAGAATGCAAGAGTGTTTAGATGTGTAGCTTTGGATGCACTMCGCATGCCATCTGCCTTATGCTGCACGAAATCAGCASCCGAGCAACAAGGCGCCTGGGATCAACGTCGCGCTGGCTCACTAAACCTGAGCCGCAGATCGGTTCCTTAGTCATATGCATGATCAAGCTGATGAAGTATCTTTTTTTTTGCTCTCTCGCTCTCTCGCTCTCTCAGCTCGTGTTGAAAGGGATTGATTGTGGGATGCGCGAGCGTTTTCTTTTCTTGATGACGTCTCCAGTTCTTTACAATTGATTGATATGTGGACTGACCAGTACCCTCCGATCGGGCACCAGCCTCCCGTACCTCCCGTCCCAACACGGCCTTTTCCCTACAACGAGGGAAGGACACGTGTATGCGAGTGGGACGTACGAGAAGTCGTTGCACAAATCGGCGGACGATACTACTTCCCTCTGGCCAATCGTTGTTCAGGGTTTGTAGAGGCTGGGTTTGTCATTATCGATACACACTTCCCACCTTACTCGATATTGTTGCCATTCAACGAGWTGATCGTCATCCCGTGGACGACAGTAGAACCCCACTGGCCGCGCACTCTATGCACCGAATGTCAGCGTTTTGAGCGCTACGAGTCCAGGGGTTTCCACTATCGTGTGCGGAGTGAAGACGAGCATAAAGAAAGAGCCACGTGGCTTAGACAATCCACGTCAAACTCGGAACTGACCAGTGTACGACGACGAGATTTGATACGAAAACGAGACATGCAAAGCATGCCAAAGCCTTTCCGTTCCAAACGTCGGGCTGTAGCCCAGTGGGAAGCCCGACAATACTTTTTGGATTGAATTTGGATATTTCGCGCCGTGCCCGCGCGCGCCTTTCGCGACGCGTGAAAACAATCCACTTGCTTCATTGGACCAACACGGGGGATTTCAGTTCGATCTGTTTCCCCCCACTCAATTTTCAAAAATCCTTGGCACACCCCATCTTGCTGTTTTTCTGGGCCTCTTTCCGCACGCCTAACACTCCGAACGAAAGACAGCACGGGCCGTGAGGTTGGTATCGGAGCCGACACGTGTCGGTTCTGATGATAGCAAGTCGAACCGGCGAGAGGTAGGAGAGACCCTCAACTAGCTCGTCGGGATCGCCCAGTGACCTGGTCTCAGTCTGGTGCGGCTGCACCCGCAGCACCAATGGTGGACGGTACTCGGGTGATCGTTAGTATCCCCACCCCCTTCCCTTTCTTCCCTAATCATACCCATCCCGAGGCTTGGATGAAAGCTGTAGAAGCTCAAAACTACAGCGCAACCGATCTTCCCCGCGTTTTGACCTTGCTACTCCGCAACACGTCGCATGACTGGTTCAGAAAACATACGTGGGTAGATTGGAATAATTTCAAACAAGCTTTCTTGGCTCGATTCGATACGGTCAGTGAAGATGCCGCCTGGTACGTACTCAAAAATCGGCCACAAGGACCAGGGAAATTGTTGCCCGATTTCGTAGATCGGTTTCAAACCACGTTGGACAAATCCGGGCGAGACGAGAAATCCGCTCGAGATTTGTTCATTGATCACCTACGAAGTCCGACATTGAAAGGAAAACTGCAGAAAAAGGTCCCGCCGGAAACACACCAGTTATCGACTATCATTCCTAAAGCATTGGAACTGGACCTGGCTGATACAAAAAAGTATATCAGCCAGGGAGACGAAGACATTACAGATACCATACGGGATGTAATGGCTAAAAGGCGATCATGGCTGCAGGCGGTCGAACGGTTTTATCCCCGCCCCGACCATGACCTTCCCAGCGGGATCGTTTCCGATACCCCGCCTGCTTCTTCTTCCTCTCCCCTGGTGAATCAATCGATCGCAGTCGTTAAAGGCGGAATCTCACCAGAACCCTCCTCACCGGCAATAACCAACTTACACCTTGCCCAAATGATCCATACGGCCACTACCAAGCAGTCCGAATGGATGAGCAACCTGGTCCAAATGCAGGTCGCTCATATGGAACGGATGGAACAGATAATGAATAGGCTAATCAAGCCTAACCCGGCCTCAGCTCGGCCGGCCCCCGCATCATTTCCGCTCTTACCTGCCCCGCCTGCTCCAGGGTACGCACCTCAGTTCCCTCATCTAGCTAATTCAGCGGGAAAGATCGAGTGTTTTAACTGCAAACAACCCGGACATTTCGCCCGAGACTGTCSGCAGCCAAAGCGTAATCAGCCTCCACCTGCCGCGGCTCCTGTCGCCCTGAATCAGGGACAAGTGGCCGCTCTGATGGATAGAGACCAAGGAGGGGAGCTCGTAGCATATGCTCCAGAGCAGCCTTGCCCTTCGACGACAATGGCGTCGACATCAGGAGCTTCCCCCTCTGACGCTGCTGACGTGGTCGATCCACTCGAATATCTTCATCTTGCAGGCATAGTCGGAGCAATCCGATCGGCCCTTGATGATCTCGAATGGGTCGATCGCGAATCCAATCCTGGTCCGCAGTTYCGAACAGGAGAGATTGACGTGCTATGAGCACTCAAACAACTAGATATTCGTGTTCCGATCCCGGTGGGACATCTGCTCACCATATCTGAAGCGGCGAATGATAAACTTTTACAACATTGCCAGAAAAATCAAAAGCGCTTCACCTATTAGCGCGTACAACGGATGTTAAAGAAGAAGGAAGGAAACGAGGAAGTTGCACAACCCGAACCCAAAGCCTGCGAACCTGAGGCCGCACGAATAGCAGCGATCTCTTTAGTGGAGAAAGATCACTTCGTACGAGTTCGGCCGGTGCTATGGAAAAGTGCAGAGTGTGATTGCGAGATTTGGGGCGAGCCGTTTAACGCCCTTATCGACACAGGGTCTTCTGCAGTAGCCATATCATTGGACACTATTAGGAAGACGGGACGACTCGGATCCATTCTTCCTCAATCTGGCAAGGACAATTATGTCTCCGCCGACCAGGAAGCAATGAATATCGTAGGCATTATTGAAAACGTGGCTGTAAAGGTTGGACGAGTACACGTCCTCGTCAACGCACTCGTAATAGATGTGCGCTCCTATTCTGTACTATTAGGATTGCCTTGGGCGATGGCGGTGGGCGCACGATTGCATTTCGATTCGAAACAGTTGGTGCTCACTCAAACTGGGGGAAAGCCTCAAACYGTTCCTCTGCGAATTTCCACSYGGACGATAAAACGAACCCCTAACTCGGCCCAAATAGGGATGATTAGATACATCAATCCCGAAGAGTGTTCTTCCTCAGATATTGATAGTGGAATCAGGGAACAGGAATACGAATAAGAGTTGCCCAGCAAAGATGAATGGAAGCACCTGGTTGAACGGTTCGAACACGAAATTCTCGAAGAATTCCAAGTGTGCTCCGACCCTGCTTGAAGCTTCCACGTGGATTCAGGAGACAGCGCGCTTGCGCATCCGATAATTCAAGTTAGTTCTTCGGCTCTCCTTGGGGAACCCATATTACAAGTGTCCGACCTGACTGATGATTAAGAACCCCCTCGCACCTTGCACGAGGGACCTCTCTCCTTACGAACGCGTTATCAGCAAACGGAACAGTATTTGGATGTTTCTATTTTTCCGCCCAGATCGTTACTAACGACAGGAGCCACCATCGCCTTGATTAAACAAAGGCGGAAGCACCAGTGAGTGATGTACCTAATGTGATGCAAAAAATAACGGATCTAACGGGGTTAATTGTGGAACCGACCTCGATTGGTTCAGAGACTGACGCTGAAACTAAAGAAACGAAGATGATTAGCCCCGCGGAGTCCCAGATGATAGCAAATGTCTTCTCTGTTCGCACYAGTAGTTMCATCTTCTCTAGTGTCGGTGATCGGCGGGAACRGCCGGTTGATTGGGTCGATATGCCCCTTAAGATTTCCGGGGAATCAACAATCCCCSTCCCGAGTCATGTTCCCACGRAACTTCGGAAGTCGTTAATCTGTGTGTTGAATGGTTACGCAGAAGTGYTGAGCATGCRTGATAATGATATCGGCTTAACTAATGTGATTGAGCATGCCATCCTCACGGGAGATCATCCGCCCATTAGCTGCGCTCCCTACCGATACTCGCCAGCTCAAAGAGCAACCGCTTTTCAGCGGATTAAGGAGTTCGAAGCTAATGGATGGATCGAACCCGCCATAGGTCCCTGGTCTTTTCTCGTAGTAATCGTGCCTAAAAAAGTCGGAGGGATTCACATTTGCATTGATTACCGAAAGTTGAATGATATCACAATCAAAGATGTGTACCCCCTCCCCCGGATTGATGAGTTGTTAGATGCGATTGGGAGTGCTCGATTTTTCAGCAAGTTTGATGTTCGCCATGGGTTCCATCATCTTCTTGTTCGAGAAGAAGATCGTTCGAAAACAGCGTTTGTACTTTTCGAGGGCACGTGGCAGTGGATTCGATGTCCGATGGGTATCTGCAACGCCCCCGTGACCTTTCAGCGAGCCATGAACATGGCTTTTTATAATTTCGTGAGAAAGACTCGTTTGGCACAGAGCATCGTCAACTACTGCGTGATTGTGTACATGGATGATATCTTGGTGTATTCGAGTTCCTACGAGGGACACGTGCAGCACATCGAATGGGCACTGCACGCGTTACGGGATGCGGGCTTCAAGGTGGCGCTTGAGAAGTGTAAGTTTTTTCTTACCACCATTTCCTCCCTAGGGCACGTGGTGACAGACAAGGGACTCCAGCCGGAGCCACAGAAGGCGACAACTATTAGGACTGCACCGGTGCCTACAACAATCACGCAAGTTCGCGCCTTTCTGGGCCTRGCCTCGTACTACCGAAGATTTATCAAGGGCTTCGCGGCGATTGCGGGACCCCTCATGAATCTGCTGCGCAAATATTTATCGTTGATCTGGACGCCGGAGTGCGATCAAGCGTTTTCCAAACTCAAGGCTGCTCTCATTTCGACTCCATTCCTTATAAGACCGGATCCCGAAAAGCCTTTTGTTCTCATCACTGACTGGCAGCCAGAGGCAATTTCGGCGATCCTTGCCCCGGTGGGACCGAGCGGACTCGAGAGTGTGGTGGAGTATGCCTCCAAATCGGTGCCAGCTTGCAAGCGCAACTACGCTGCTCCAATGGGGGAATGGTACGCGGCTCTTTGGGGAATCAGCCACTTTCGCGCTTACCTGTACGGGCAAAAGTTCACCTTGATAACTGATCATGAGCCCCTGTTGGCTTTGAAGAAATCGAAGGATTACTCTGGCATGATCGGGCGATGGGCAACAGTGCTGCAGAGCATGGACTTTGACATTCGTCATTGGAAGCACGAGAGACACGGGAATGCGGACGAACTGACACGACTGCACCGGCCTGAGAAGGTTCCGAAGAGTGAGGAGGTAATTCCGTGGAACGACCCCGAACAGGAGATCAGACCTCGATACGGCCAAGTGGAGATCTTATCGAAGCAGTGAGTGACACGAGGACTAATTGGTCTGTTCTACCCTCTTTGCATCCCTTCCTTCTTGTCATCATGACTCTCCCACTTGCCTCCGCCACCCCTGCATCTCCTAATAAATTTTCCCCTCTCACATCCTCAGCTTTCTTTGCCTCCCTCCCCGACAAATTCTGTTATTTTTGCACGTGCATTGCACGGGTCTATGGGGTCGACTGCCATCCTTTCGAAACTAGGTTTGTTGATTGGGTAGAATGTACCACGTGTGTCAATCGTGCGCACGGGGCTTTCGTTCGATATCAGACGAATAGCAAGGAATGGAGATGCCCCCTGTTTAGAACGAACAAACTCCCCACGGAGGTTCGATTCGAGGCCGCCCGTATGGACGGCCCCGAATACGACGAAAAATATCGACGAGCGGAGGTTTGGACGGATAAAATTTTATTGGCAATATTAGCGGGATTATCACTGGACCACCTCACCAAACACGATAGACGTAGGGCAACCGAGAGATCTCGGGACTATCGATGGGTCAACGGTCATTTGGAAAAACGTAAAACTGACGGATCGGGCTCGAGGTTGACGGTTCCCCATCCATTCCAGAGATATGATTGGATCCGATCTGCTCATGAAGCTCATTTCGCAATACGTGTCACGGAGGCAACTGTAGATCAGAAACGATGGTTCTGGTCCAATATACGAGATGATGTCAAATACATTGTCGCTAACTGTCTGGTTTGTGCCATTGATCGCGCCCCTATACGGGGACCAAACACGATCGTACCAACGGAAGTAGAGCATCCTTTCCAGCGAGTCAGTATGGACACGACAGATATCGACGTGCCACCTGGCCCAAGCCGCTTTGAATATTCTATCCTGCTGGTATTAATAGATCATTTTTCCAAGTACATCGAAGTCTATCCCTGTAAGACCTGAAAAACTGCAGAAATAGCCATATACATCGAACGGTTCCTCTATACCCATCTAGATACGAAAGAAATTCTGATCGACAATGGGTCCGAGTTCAAGGGTGAGGTAGAAGAACTGCTTGCGCGAAGGGGCGTCACGCTCCGACATACGGCACCCCACGTGTCCCAGTCAAACGGGTTGGCCGAAAATGCCAACTATATGATTAAAACTGCCCTTCGCATGAACTTAGCGGCACATGACACAAGTCCTTGGCCCCGGATCGTACATCAAAATCGTCAGGATCCACCGGGCCACCCCTCACGAGTCCACGTGGTTTACCCCTTTTCAACTTCGAACTAATAGCCTCTCCTGTGTCGACTACCGGGGTAACTCGGAAATTGCCGAAGCAGGGGGTAGAGACACACGTACAACTCTCAAGGCCAAGGCCAAAAGGTACACCGAATTAATGGAACGAGCTGTCCCGAAGCTAGCTCGAAAAAGGCAAAGGATGACCGAACTGGCCCATGGTAGACAGGTCCGTAGCTACGAGGCTCGGAATGGAAATGCTGGGCCCTAGCATCAATATAAATTAGGGGACCTAATGCAGGTACGTAAATGTGCACGCGATCGGAAACTCGCTCCCAAGTTTTCTGGCTGTTTTCGCGTTGTCGAGCTCGGACCCAACGGCGCCAACACGGTGCGCATCGCGCCTGAGTCTAGTGCCAACCATAGCTCTGTCCCCATCGTCCGGCATACCTCCTACCTCCGTCTTCTTCCTCCTTCTGATCTTCCTCCCTCTTCTTCCTCGGAAAGGGAGGAGAACGACGACGATCTAACTCTCTCCTCTTTCTCCCTCTTGTCCTTCGCCCTCCTCTCCTACCTCGCCATGAGTTTTATCACGGAGCGGGTTCTTGACGCGCAGCTGTTGCAGCCACGTGGCCACATCTCAGAGATTCGGCAAGTTTGTCCCTCTCGGCTCAATGCGGATCTTCGGCGTTTGATGCGATTCTTCTGCGACGGAGGTATCTGTGCCGCCGCTGCGTTTCGAATCGAAGGAAGTCCTCATGCAGTAGTATTCGCGGAGGTAACCGCAGTTCATCGGCGAGCGGGCCCCAAAACAAGCCACGTCACCACGGTTGCGGCATTCAACGGCAACATCAGCTCGGTCAATCCACAGTGGCATACCGCGATCTTGACCTCGCTGCGCGAGTGGACGGAGCAAGTGTCCAACGTGTGGTGGCAGAGAGAAAGATGCGCAACAACAAAGGCGCATTCGCCGTTAATTCCAATATGGTCCCGGGCCAATAACTCACTCAACTCCAGTCATCGATCCTCATACCCGCACCGACGATCCCGACGGCCGAGTGCTAACTCCCACCACTACGATTGTCACCCMGCTGTCGTAGACTCGACACTGTTCGCCCAGATCCCACAGTCCGTCGTGGCGATCCAGCGCGCAACCGACCAGCCTATCGTTAGCCTGACAGGACTATCCGACTCGCATCAAACACTCTGCCTAGCCACTGCTTTCTGGAAGCTGGCTTGAGAGTCGAGAACGTAAGAGAGATTTGGGGCCGCGCTTGCCGGTTTTATAGTTGCGACGGGGAGATAGAAGGGAGAGAAAGCGACGGGAAAGCTGAGGTGTAAGAGGAGAAGCAGGAGGAGAAAACTTTGAGAAGAATGCTCTACGAACGCCATGTTGATCCCTCGAAACTCAAGGTTCAACCAATCAGATTGGCCGCACAATAGGAAGGTCCTATTGATCCACGCACCTGATTGGCGAGCGGGAGTTATCGATGGATCGACCGGGCGTCGTGCGCCAGACTCAGAGGGTGAGGGGAAAAAGGCGCGAGAAGTGGCGCAAGACAGGTCCAAGATTCAGATGATCAAGAAAGGAAAAGGGGCACGCAGAGAGCAAGGCGAGAGAGGGAGAGAGAGAAAAAAAACAGTTACGGGGCGAGAGAAAGAGGAGGGAGAAGGGGAAAGGAGCGTGGGAGGGAGCAATGCGGGGGACAGAGAGGAGAAAGCTTTGCACGCGCGGCACCGTCAACAAAAAGAGAGAAAAAGGCACCGAAACAGTTAAAGCCTAATTCAAAATTGAAATCACGATATCTGCGCGTGAAAAAGCGACGGGGGAAAATAAAATCCTATGCCTATTCGTATTCGCACAAAATTCCGAGTGTTTTCCCCGACGCGACCAAGAACATTCACACACACGAAAAGGACACGTCGATGTTCCGCTTATCCCGGAATTCCCAACTGGCGAGCCCAATTCCCAGTGCGCTCGCTAAGGCGCACGTAATTTCCTATGTATTTTCCGAATTGCAGAAAGGAAAAACAGAACCCCGGAATCGAAAAAGCTTCCGAACGATGGGGGCCAAAAACGCGGTACTCAAAATCAAGAAAACGAAATGGGGTTTCTATGGGGTTGGTATGAWACAAGCAAAAAGGGGTACGAAAGATAGCACGGATTTGGGAAGTGGTTCRTCACATATGTGACGCGCAGGGGGTTCCAAAATTATGCGATCTCCTGATTGCATGTCATGGCGGAACAGAGTGATGCATGAGGAACCAAGCGTATCAACAAACGATCCAGCCAAAGTCCATGTTGAGCCAATTTCAATTGCAATTGTCTGTTGCTGGAATCCTCGATGGTCGTCCAGGTGACGCCATCATCGT